GGTGTGTGTGTGTGTGTGTGTGTGTGTGTGTGTGTGTGTGTGTGTGTGTGTGTGTGTGTGTGTGTGTGTGTGTGTGTGTGTGTGTGTGTGGGGGGGGGGTGGGGTTTGTGTAAACAGGTTCAGTGAATGTCTGTGTGGTAGAGATTGATGAAAAAGATTATAAGATTTGGCATGAAAAGTTATATAAGTCAGAATAATGTGTGGGTGAGTGAGTCTATGCATGACATCAATTACTTGGTAATTTGGTAACAAGAGCTTGTTTGATAGAATTCAGAGACAAAAACTTTTCCAAAATATATTTTTAGGAGACAGTCAGAGATTTGTTTTACTCATGTTAATTTCAAGAATGAGCACAAACATAAATAGATATTGCAAATTCAATATCATCTATATTTTAAGGTTCCAATTTTCGTAAAATCTGTTGATTATATTAACATTAGACTGTCAGAAAAGTGTAAAAACAACAGCGATCAAGAGTTTCAAGAGCTTAGGTAACACTAATAGCTAAATACTGTATATGCAAATGCAGCATAATAAACCTTGACATTTAGAAATCTTGGAACAGAGAATATCGGGAATTTTTCCTCAGAAATGATAAATAATTGAATTACTTAGTTTTCTGTCAAGAAAAATAGCAATTATTACTTTGGCAACATTTAACAGAGAAAATGTACCTCTACCTAGTCATATAATGAAAAACATGTTACATAACCCTTCCCGTTTTTAATTAGAACTACTGTATGATATTATATATATGGGATTCTCATGGAGTCCTGTATTCCCGGTAAGATAAGGTATATTTTGCATGCATACTTACATTTGCACACACAGGCACGGTCCATCATCCAGATGAGTGATGAGCAGTATTCACAGTATGTGGGGATGCTGTACTGGGTGGACTTGAAGATGTGTCCGTTATGCTCCTCCACCTGCAGAGAGCAGCACACGTTCATTTGGAGTTCACTTGCACATGTCCCTTTACATACAGTAAAGTACAAATGTGCAATTTTTCTTTTACTTAGATTTGATGAGAATGAAGTTAGACTTACAATATCCGTGTCCTTCTTCCTCATCTTTTTACGCTCAGGTTTAGGTACCTGCTGTAGTCAAAACAAAAACAGAAACAGAAAAACCGAGTGTGAAAATAAAATCGAGTGTGAAATGTATTTTAATATTTCAAACATCAGCTAGATACTATTTTCCTGGAGGCATTTGGGTGTCTTTACCCTGCTGATTGTGCTGTCCAGAGGCTTGTACTCAGTCATGAACTCATCCAGGAACACTTTAAAGGTGTTGACCCACACTGTGACAGGAGACTCTCTCCAGTCCCTCTGCTCCTGTCGCATGGTCTTCTCCAAGATCTGCTCAAACAGAGCGTAGAGGTCTTTGTAGCGGATGCTCTTATTGTCGTCCATCTGGGGAGGAAGACAACAGGTTCAGGGGAAGCGCACAGAATTGATCAACTTGAGTAGTTTTTTTTTAAGCTACCTTGTAAAAAGGAGTGTGATTTGATTACATATTTGCACTCTTGATCCCTTTTTTTCTTATCGAAGAGTGATTTTTTTTTATGCAAGAGTGATATGTAGATAACGTTTAAAGTGTTGACAACACTTACTGCAAGAGCCGTGGAGTAAGAGTTGAAGATATTCAAACGGAATTCCTTCAAAGCCTTTTTAAACACAACATCCACCATGGTGTCCTTCTCACTGTCCTCCGTATCCAAGTCGTTGATCTATAATATAACAACATCATCTCAGCATGAATATATACTGCCTGTAACGCTTTTATTTTAGAGGTTGAAGTACACATGCAGATCATATAATCATCAGAGCATGTTTGTCTGTACCTTCTTCATGAGGAAGTCGTTCATGCTCCTGTAGTCGTTGGTGCAGGTGAGGATCTGCAGAGCGTCGTTCTGCCACTGAGTCGATTCCAGAGCCACGCTGCTGATCTTAACGCTGCGCCGCCGCTTCACCTTGGGAGAAGGCTCCTTGTTCTCCTTCAAGTCTCTGAACCCTCGATCTAACATCATATCAGGACTGCAGGGCGGCGACATGTTCTCCTGACCTGCTGTGTGGAAGAGGATTTATGAGTCAGAATAACCTTCAGGTGAAGTTCAAATGTATAAAGACAGGATAAAAGAAGACAATGTGCAATATATGCAGTTGCTTTTTAATAACGCACCCTCTCCCAGCAATGGCCCAGTCTCTCCATAGTCTCCATCCAAAGAGTCACCACCACAGATCAGCTTTTCTCTGGAAGTCTTCTTTTCCCCATACTTTGTCTTGCCCCAGAAGCGCATCCTACGAACCCTGTTCCAAATTGAGATTATAATATAAACACCTTTTACTCGCATGTGGAAGAAAACATCCTTATTAATTTACATTAAGTTCAAGACACAACACTGTGGATGCTGTCAATGCTTTGTTTAAGAACAAACCTTCCATCTTGTGAGTTTTTGCGCAGGGAGTCCCCTTTGCCCAGATCTCCTGACGACATGGCTTTGTGTGTCTTCTTCTGCTCCTCAGAGCTAGCAGGCTGGAACAACAGCAGGTTAGATAATGAGGCAAAGTAGAACCAAAACTGAAGAAAAGCCTCTTTGTTTGTGGAATCACACACAGCTCATGTGTATATTAAAATCTAAGCAGCAGCCAGTAGATGGCAGCATCACATCACTGCTTCACCAGCCAGACTCAACATTTACCAGATCTCTTTTTTAGTAGCATTTGAAGGAAATGTTTTTTATTGTAATAATGAAAATGCAAATCAATACTACATTTGAAATATATGTAAACATATGAATTAAACATATGAATTAAACCTATGACACAGGAACAAATCATTTTTTCTCAGCAGAAGAGCTGTTAAAAGACAAAAGAAGAGTTTGTTAGGTGATGAAGAAAGTCAAGAGTGAAGGATGACTTATTCCAAGGATTCCCAAGGTCTGACCTATGCCGGATGCTACTTGTTAACAGAGGAAATATAACCAAGTGGTATGCAAACATTCTTGATTAAACGGAAAGAATAAATCAAGGGGAAAAGTCAGTGTTACAGCTGTGAGAGAAAGAGAGGCCACATCATGTTAGAGACGAAAACATGTTTAAAGGGTTAGTTTTGACGAGAAAACACTTCAAATGTATTCAAATTAATTTAAAATGTAATCAAACACTGTTGTTAATGAGTTCTGGAGGGGTTGTCAAACCAATAAACGATTGGATTTTTTGTTTGTTCGACCTCCTCGACTAAATGTCTTTAAAAACCAACATTTATTTTTATGTTTTCAAAATGTCTTTGAAATAGTTTTGAAATACATTTGAAATGTCTTCACTCTTACGGTAAAGGTTAGTTTTAGAAATAGAAGTAGTTAGTACAGCTTTATATTGACGAGGGGGTTAGAAAAGTTAAAGAGAAGTCAGCTTTAAGGACGCATACAGCGTCACTGCTGGGCTTGCTGTGCGCCTGTTACCATGTCTGAGTCACTGAAACAGGGCTCTCTTAAGCCCGCCTCCGGGGAGCTCGGATTGGAGAGGGGAAGAGAGTGATGACGGGGGGTGTCATCCTCGTCTGAATCTTCCCCAACTGAGACGATGGGGACGCGGGTGAGGAAGTCGGAGCGGGTCCGTGCCATTCGGACTTTCTTTTTTTGGCCTGCTCTGCCAACCTGGAGTTTCATCAGGAGTGATAACAGCATGTTTAAAAGGGGTCTTCAATAACCTGCAGAAGAGCTTCAGTGCATTTTGTTCTTCATAAAGGTCACCTGTGTCCATTTTAGTGTCGGATTAAGAGCTTCATTAATTCATTCACAATACAAAAGACACTCCTGCAAACACATGCTATTTGTTTGTTTTCTAAAGGGTAAACAAGAGAGGTTGCTTACATCTCGCACTTTTGCTCCTTTGGAGGGCTTGGGGACTGGTGAGGGTCCTTCTCCGGGAATCACTGCAGGTGTTACTTTAGGGACAGCATTACGGTCAAACCTGGCGGACAAAAAGAAGATGTTATTAAAAACGTAAATTAACTTAAAGTACGTTCAAAGAATGTAAAGGGAAATGTCATCACAGTGATGGTTTGTGACATCTATGGGTTATTTTCAGCTCCTATATCTCAGTGTCCCTGCGTCAAATCTGTATTGCAGGGCAGCACATGCAACAGCGCGTTTGTCTAAATTCTTCACTTACTGTTATAAACGTTTTAGTCTTTCTATGTAAACAGTTTTTTGGAGTAATCTGCTTTGTTAAACTTGTTTTATAAACCCCTTGAGTGTTAATGTATTATGTATATTTATGCATCCGTTGATTGCATGTTTATTTTAGCCATGCTTGTGGGTTTTTTTTTCTTTTGGGTCTTCGTCTTAGCAATTAATTGGTATTATTCTAAAACTATTTATTTCAAGTTACCAATGTTCTTATTTAATTTTGTTCTTACTTTGTTTATTTTGCAACAAAATACCAAGGCATTCACCATTTGTGTAATATCTTGAATTCTGATTGGAAAATAACTAGATAGCCGAAAAACATCCTAAGTGCAAGCAAGGAACGTGCAATGCTTTACTTCATGACTCACTTTGTAAAGGTCACTTTGTCCTTTGGAGAGAAGAAGATGTTCGGTTTGTCCGTCATATTAACTTTAGCGCCTTGATTGATTGGAGGCTTCTTGACTGCAGTCTTCGCTCTGGTTCCTCCTCCTCCATCTTTAGACTCTAGGGTGAGTTTAGGTGCCCACCCTTCAGCAACAGGCCTGTTCTCCCTGCGTTTATCTCTGGAAACAGAGGCAGGTGGAGGGGGCAGCTGAGGGCGAGGGGCAATGTTCTGCAGGGTTACAACCGGGTGAGAGGGCACTGATGGGGCGGTGGAGACTGAGCGTGTTCTGACATTAGGAGCTAACCCTGCCGCCTTCTCGATCAGCAGGGAGCTGGGTCTAATGGGCTTCACTGAGGTCGCACCTCCACCAACATCTGCTCCGCCCTGTCGACTCTGCTGGATCTTATGCAGAGCTTCTCCTCTCTGTTTCTCAAACATGTCTCTCTCATACTGAGCGAACAAAAGACGCTGCTGCTCCAGAGCTTCTTTCTGCTGTCTGATCTGCTCCATCATCTCCTTCTCATTCTGCTGCCGCTGATTCCGCTGCCTCACCTCCTTCTCCTCGTTCAGTCGCACTAGCTTCTCTATGATGGCCTGGTCAGCTCGAGGCACAGGGGTGGGGTCTGATTTCTCCCCCGTCTGGGCTGCAGAATCCCGAACCTTCACAAGGGGACGGACAATATCGCTCAGCTCTTGGCTTATCGGGGTTTCTTTCTGCATGCTGATAACCACCACCACTGGTCGACGCAATGACTCCCGCCCCTCTTTAAAAGGCCTGGTAACAGTGGTGCTGGAGACAACCTCTGTTTTTGGTTTGGGCTCTTCAGCAGGACGACGGGACACGACTGTGCTGCCCTCACTAGCAGGGACGTAAAAGGTAGGGAGGTAGTTCTCGAGTTTGGGCGGATGTGTGGGAGCAGAGGGGGCAGGTAGATCCATTTTGGTCTTGCTTCCTGGATGCACAACAGCATCAGAAACCTCAGTCCTGCGGGGTTCAACTGGCATTCGGCTTGATGAAACAATATCCATATTAAATTCAGGTACAGGAGCTACTGGGAGAACAGGGGAGCAGAGGTCCTCGCTGTCTGTGATCTCTTCTACAGCCTTGGGTGGCTCGTCCTCCATGCTGAGAAGCTCGAAGCTGCCTTTGGAGCTCTGGCTGTCGGGCGTGCCTTGCGGGGAGCGAAGAGGCGGGGTCGCAGGAGGCACCAGTTCCAGGGACCAGCGTCGCTCCTCCGAGGGGGACGAGGCCCCCCCGCTGGTCGCCCGGACCTTCAGGAGCTCCAGGCTGAACTTGGCCTGCTCCAACTCTCTCATCCGCCGGCTCTCCCTCTTGGCCCGAGTGGTTTTCTGGCTGGGCTCGTCTATAGTTCTGGACCTCTCTCGCACCACCACAGTCGAGGTCTGCATCGAGTCCGGTGCTTCAGTTTGCACTTTAGAGGGACTCCCGCTGGTCCCAGAATGTTCTCGTCCTTCTTCTTCCTCTTTCACTGCGCCCTCATGGCTGTTGAGGACCTGCAGGCTCCTTTCTCGCTGCTTGTAGGAGCGATCCTCCCACGTGCTGAGGTCCAAACCCATGATCCTCTCAGGGGAGACCTCCTCTTCCTCTTGTGAGGGACTCATCTGGCCATTCTGTAGTTGAAGCAGCTTCTCCTGCTGCTGCTCCTTCTTCTCCCTCAGCCTCTCCTCTCTCAGTTTTCTGAAGCTGTGAATCAAGAAGGCATGGTTACAAGTCTAGCTAATGCCAATGTACTTCTACGAACTACAAACTACTTTATTCTACACAATTAAGGTATTGTTAACTAATTATTACTACTGTACCTACAAACTCAGGGTCTGATATTGCCTCAAAGCAGCTCAGCTGATTGTAGAGCTGCTTTGAGGTTGCTTGCGTAATGGCATGCTCTTACGAAGCCTGATATATAAGCGCATTGAACAATGACCAAACACACTGCAGGAGCTGTGTGCAAAGATTATCTGGCTTTTCACAAGCTTGGGCGAAAATCATGCAGTAACCTACTCTAAGAAGCTATTTTCAGAGTTAAAGAAAATACATTTTTTTAAATATTTGCATATTCGAGACAACCATGAGGAAAATGTTATCAAGTATAAATATTGTGAGTATGGGTTATTTTTGCTCCCATTAAAAATGTTTTGCAGAAAAGTGGAAAAATACATCCAACATACATGCATATAGGTGTCTTATTTTACTAACACGGGTCATATATACCTGTAGTCTTTCCCCTTATACAAAAGTCAACTATAACTCACTTTTGTATTAAAGAAAATAACTGGTCCTACTCTCTTGATAAGTTGTGTTACTCTCCAAGTTATTTTGCTCTCTCCAAGTTATTTCCATCTCTGGATACGTTATTTTAGACGCAGGATAAGTTATTTCCCTCTCTGGATAAGTTGTGGGTATTTTATGGAGTTGTTTACCTCTGCCTCGCGAGGAAGCCTCTGCTAAGCGCCTGTAGCTGCTCCACAGCTGCGTACAGACGCAGATAGGCATCTCTGGCCTGATGACAGCGCCAGGCCGTCTGGATCACCAGGGCGGCGGTGCAGCGCCGGGACAGCCATAACCTCCAGGCCCTCTGCAGCACCACAGCTGCCTCCCTCCACAGCCTGAACCTCTGACGCTCCCTGTAACCTCGCCAGTTTGTCTGCAGACACAGAGCTGCCCCCTCCTGGACGCTAGGGTCATAATCCTCCTCCTCTTCTTCTATAGGCCGGTACAGATGCCACCATTTCTGTAAAGGGATGATGGCAATGATTTATTATTATTTTATTGATACTAGGATGTCTTTTTAAGTTTAATCAGAATGCATAGAAATATAAAATGTTTACTGAAAATATATAGATTTCCTTTTTTCCCTTGATTTCAACTTTATTCAGATCTGACTTTTACACAAATAAAAAGTCTCTTAGTTTTAGATTAGATCCAACAATATGTTTTAATCTCATCAAAACAAGAATCATGAATAAACAATTTAATTGTTAGTGCTCAATTTATATAAACTTGGATTCTTAATCTGTACAATATAGTTTTGCAAAACTGTGATAAAATGTCATTCTTTTTTATTTTAATTCCACTGAAAGTTGATAAGGATAATATATATATATAAAAAAAAAAAAAACACTTTGAGGAAACAAAACCAAAAAACAATAATAAGTCATTTAAATAACAAAGAAAGATTCAAATGGGTTTGATGTAGAGTTGTGATGATGAAATGTACCTGGATGCAGATCGCTGCTGCTCTCATTCTGGCAAACTGCTTCCTCTCCAGCCGGGCTCTGAATCTCCGCTGCAGCGTGACGATGCGTCTGAGAACTTCAGTGTGGAGCAGGGCCTGCAGCTGCTGACGCTCAGCCTCCCGCAGAAACACCTGAGGGGAGGGACCAGCACGCAGTCAACAGAGGGTGATACCTTTATACACTCAGTCTATGGGTGACACATTTAATGAAGAACGGGGTTGTCTGGTTACACAAAGAAATATACTCACAAACTCTTTAAAACCACACAAACCACAGACATCCCTGGCTTGACAAAGAGTCACAAGTATGTCAGGTATGATCCTCTAATTATATAAACAGCATCTCAGAGGCATGGACAGCTCCATCATGACTCATTCATACTTTGGACCTATACCATGCCAAATATGGGACACTGTCTTCATTATTTCCTTTTTCCAGAGGGAAGAGGCCTTCAGTAATGACGTTGTCCCCAACTCTGACCATTCCCTTTGTCTATGACTCTATTTAAATTGTATGGAATTGAACCCCCACATTATTTTGACTAATTCTGGGTATTCAAATTCCTCACAACCTCAACATGCAATAAAACATTTCATAAAACACATAACAACATGCAGTATAATGAGCCTACACATTTATTTCTCCAATGTCACCAAACAATGACATAACCTCTAAACCACTGTTTTGCTCTACCGTTCAATTTTACTCGTGGACTATATATTATTTAAATGGTTGAACCGGACCCTGAGTTATCTGTTTATTTCCTGCGGATGTAGAAGAACTAAAAAATTTCTTTCAGTACCGTTGGTCTGATGTTTTCAGATTAGCTTGTTCCAAACTCAGACTGTGTGAAATATAAACTTAACTTCTGAGAGCAAAACATAGCTACACTGTGTAGAATCATTTATAATGACAAACAGTAGGGCAGTAGTATGTTTGAATTTTTTTAGACAAGTGCAAAAAAGAAAAAGAAGGAAGTAAATACCATTGTCTTTCCCACTTGGTAGCCATCTGGTTCTAGATCCTGCTGGTCCAGGCTCTGCTGGATTCCCTCTCTGGTGGCACTGGTGCCCTCTGGGAGCAGCACATAGAAGTGATGGACAAAATCCTACCAACAAAACAAGAACATGTGTTAGTAAGAAATGTGGTCATTACCCTACAGTATTTCTGTTCTGAATGTTATTTTTCGGATATGTGCAAATGATTTCAACAAACTAACAAAAATAAAGTTAATAATCTGCAAAAATATCTGTTTTTCTAAAACTGATTCCAGTACAGGATTAGTTGTTGGATGGGGTACAACAATTTGAAATAAAAGAGTTGACCACCCCGGCAGAAACTGAAGCGGCCTCCTGCAGCATCTTCGAGCAAAATAAAAAAAGCTTTTAAGGCACATGTGGTTTCAGGTAAAAGTCCATGCTGTCCATATTTGCAGGGGTTCAAACATCATGGTGTAAATATGCTGAACGCCCACTCTTCAGACTGAGGTCCATTGTCTGAATTCAATACACTCAGGGCTGCAGGGGGTGGTTAGGGAAACAGATGCTGTGTTTATACAATTACAATCATGGGGTGTGTTTCAGAGACCTGAGGACAATGGAGAGCCTCTGTCCTAAAGAGTGGGGAAACAGCAGAGTCCGCCGAAGTGATGCTATGCCCAAGATATTTCTCATTAGTGCTGACCGCAGCACTAAATTTGTTTGGGGGGAATTTCTAATAAATGAAGATGTCTGATACCTAAATCATCATAGTGAGCTCACCAAAAAGTGAAGTCTTCAGAAATAATTAATATTTTATCAATTTTTTATTAGTGTGGAATTTAAGTGGGCCGATTTTTCCAGTGGTTGAAAAAGTACAACAATGCAAAATGTAAATAAAATGCCTGCATTTAATGTATAATATCATATTATTATGTAATGGAAAACACTCGTGACACACTTGTGACTGATGGGCTCTCATGTAAGTTATAAGCAATGTTTTACTACTGTAGCTTGTCAAGGTGCTGTTAGTTTCTACTAGCTTGCTATTTCAGTAAAGTGTTTCCCAATTTAGGGGTCGGACCCCTTCAAAAAGGTCAAATGATAAATCCTAGGGGTGAGGAGATGATCAATGGGGAAGAAAAAAGCAAAGAAAACAGCGTTCTGGTTCACACATCTCCATATAACATTTTAGATTTAAATCTTATTGTAAAATGTTACCTTATATTTATCTGTTACCTTGGCTATTGAACAGATATTCCAATAAAACCATCTGAAAAGTTTAAAAGAAATGTCTCTTTGTTTGAATTGCTTAAAACTCAGGACTAAACACTTTTAAAATGTCAAAAAGGTTGGAAAGAACTGATTTAATTTCAAATAATGCATTACATTTTATAAGATGACACGGTTTTCTGTTAACTCTTGATTGTAAATAATCTGATAATGTTTTGAAGATAAAGGTTTAATTATTTGCACAGAAATGTAGTAAAGATCAAAAATAGTTCACAGACCTTGCATTACCTTGAGTAACTAGTAGTTTTTTTTGGATGGAATCAAGGTTGTTAAAATGACTCTGAAGTGAAATTTTTTAAATGACTTCAGTTTTACGTGGAAGAAACAAGCTTTGATCTATCAAAGGGACTTCTTAATAAACTAACCCAGTCCCTACAAATCTTGACGTCACAGGATTGGCACAATTGAAAATTCAAAGCCACAACATGGAAACTAACGTAAGAGAAAACTAGAGTGGGAGTGAGCCACTCCCTAAAATGTACTGTCCAAACACTCACTTCCAATCAGCTTTAAAACATGATCTGCTTTATAAGTCATACAGTATTCCTCACAGGGTTGACATCATTCTTATGAGAGCCAGCCTGGTTAAGATCTCTGCCACCTCATGTCGCAAATAATTTCCTCTCAACATAAAACACAATAATCTGCGGCTCAAACAACATCAGTGACATGTTTCCCGGAGATCAATTCATCCCTGGTACCAAAACTTTAGGAAACCTGAGTGTCGTTTTTATATTTTGGGCGAGAGCAGTGAGATAGTGGATCAGTGTTGTGGCTTACACACGCCTGCACCGACCGAGGGGACACGTGAATGTAATCTGCAGCTGAACTCCTTTTACCATTTGGCTTATCGAGTCTCGCTTCCTCGATGATATGATCCTTTGAATTGCTAGATAAAGAATGAAGAGGGTCTGATGTAACTCTCAGGAAACTAAAACCATGTAAAGGGGGATTGCATTATGTTAACACATGAAGGTCATGTTTAGTATACTCAGTGTAAACTTTTAGATGATGTCTTCTGTGACTCTGCCATTTTTTTAATGCTGGGCTCGGAGAAACCTTTTTTTTACAAAAATCTGCCTTGCAACTGCAGCGGTGTACATTTGGATATTAAGGGAACAACAAGCTGCATTTTATTTGTCTTACTTCTGTTACACATTTCTTTGTCTTTTTCTTTTTTCTCATAATAAACATATTTATTATCTTTTATTATATATATATGTATTAGCTGATTAAGAGCAAGGTGGTCTTTTAACTACTTTGGATTCTGTGTTGGGAAGTTATATTTAACAAAAGCACAATGTTAATAAACCATTTGTAATATCTTAATCTTTCATAGTCAAAAGTACATTACTTAATTTAAAATGATATAAGTGACAGTTCCAAAATATAGACTGATATTTAAAGAGTATCTACATGGTGTGAATGTCTGTGTGTGTTACCTTGAAGCTGTACTTGATGTTGTAGCCCGACTGGCGGATGCGCACAGTCTCCAGCATACCTGTGTATCGCAGCTGCCTCAGCACCAGGTTATCATTAAACCTCAAGGGCAGCTGAGAAAAAGTTAAAAAAAAGGTTATCGAGGAGAGGAAAGGGAAAATGACCGGAAAGGAAAAGTGTCAGGCGGCAGACGTTACAGAGGGGCAGAGGGGGAAATGATAAACAGCTTTCAAGAAGTTCAAACTTCAAAAGGAAACGAAAAATGCTTTGAAAACTAAAGCAAGCTGCTTCAGTCTGGAGTGAGCACACTGTACCTTCTCAGCATTGGAACGGATGCACTTGACAAAATAAGGCTCAGACTGACCCAGAGTCTCCATGAGCTTGTTGAGGGAGGCCTGCAGACAGAGACACAAAACAAGTCCGATTTGAAACAAAGCCAGAACATAAAGGCACATGCAGAGGCGGATTGCTTGTGTTGATCCACAGCTGTTTGACAGGAAGAAGCCAAAGTCATGTGGATCTGTCAGCTGTGAATAACTGCTGGTGAGTGAAACACTTTTCTGCAAGATTAAAGTCTTTGACAGGGAAAAGAAAGAAACATATGTGTAGTTTTTCCATGTGCATGTGTGTAAAAAAATGAACATGTGTGTGATAATTCAGGGGCAGGAGGAATTCAGTCTCCTCCTCTTCCTCCTCCTCCATGGGAGATTAAAGCAATCAGGGCAGCACAGGATGTGGGAAGTGAAGTCATCCACACACTGGGGCCTCAGCACTCCTCTCTACTGTACCTCCAACAGCCAGAGAACAGAGTTCACGTTCAAAGAAATCAGGATAAAAATAAACCGTTTTCAGTTGTTGAGTGTTATTCTAAGCTGGTTTGTATTACAGACTGCATACAGTACAAGAGATATTTTTGACCTAAAGACAACCAAGTTATTCTGTACTGTATGTTAACAGTAGTTGTCAGTGTCATTAATCTCACTTTTAAGTGTATGAAAAAAGAAAAACCTCTGCTGTGAAATGCATAAAAAACAAAGAGTAGAGGACCTACATTTTAAAAAAAATTGTAGGAATTAGTTCATTCTTGTTTTCTTGATCCTCAACTCCTGTTAATTTAACACTAATGAAACACATTTCAAAAGAGTGTGGTTACTCCCTCACAAATCCTCCCCAAGTATTTTTCATGAGACATTTATTTAGCTTTTTGTCTTAAATTCCCAGACATGAAGTCATACATATTAGACTTGTGTGTATGTGTGTGAAAACGAGGCAATAGACTTCACACACATTATTCACAAATACAGGGATAAGACAGCGGACAGCGAAGGGCTGGGGGGGGAGCCAGAGAATTGGAGGGATGTTTTCAGCCACAGCCAGTTGTAACAGGACACACCTTGTTTTTATCATAGTCACAGCTTTTATCCTCTCTGCAGCTCGGGCTAATCGTGTTATTTTTATGGTGAGAGCAGTGAATGGCGAATCATTGAGCATTGCAGTGTGCTACTGGCTGTGTGTGTGTGTGTGTGTGTGTGTGTGTGTGTGTGTGTGTGTGTGTGTGTGTGTGTGTGTGTGTGTGTGTGTGTGTGTGTGTGTGTGTGTGTCTGACCTGGAACTGAGCGCTGATACTGGGTGGTTTCTTCTTCTTGTGGAGGTGCAGCAGCGACTTGGTGATGCGGTCGTGAAGCGTCAGGTTGCTCAGGTACTTCAGTGACCTGACGTTCAGTAAATGCTGCCGATGTGACGAATAGTCAGTTAAACATGTTGATCATTAATTACTTTGTTAGAATCTATAAAAAATGATCTGGACTGTACCTTGGGAAGAACTGACTTGGATTTGTAGTTTTTGTTCCTCCTTTCAGTAAAAAACAAGGAAAATAAAAGTTAGTTCAGGAGTCAAATCTATTTTGAGTATTAGAGCAACCATTTGCCTCTATGTGTTCTTCAACAGGTGAGAAGGGAATATGTTTTAACTGTCAAGTAAAAGCACCAGACATTCCTCCCAAGTGGGTCATATTCCTGTCAATAAAACTTTATTCATCCCTGTGGGGAAATCTGCGCGCACTTGCTGCCCTCCGGAGGGAGATCAGAGGTCAGGGTCAGCTGCAGAGCAGCACCCTCGGAACTGGTAGGAATGTAGATGACTAAAGGACACAAGGCAGGACAGATGTTTTCTGACACTGAGTTTGAACTCAAGTCTTTCCGTTTTTTAAGGTATGCGTCGAGGCCAAACTGCTGATCATCATAACTAGTACATACCAGTAGAAACACTGATACAGGGGTAGACATTAAGGGTAAAATTGAGGGCCAATGGAATTGTATTATCACTGGCCCCACTATTGTAACCACTGGCCCGGAGCATTCGTCCAAAAAAATCGACTAATAATGAAGAAAATGAACACATTTGTTGCAATAGTAATTTATGCACAAACTACATTACTACTTGTACTACAACATTTGAATCATCAGTTCTTCCACATTTTCCTCAATTGTTCATATTTGGTTTATTAAAATAATGATATTGTGGTCATTGTTAAAAAATTTCTGCTATTATGAGTATTATTATTATTTGTATAATGCGCTTTCTGCCTTCCTATCATCAGGAGTTAGACATGTAATGGCTATGTAATAGATTAGATTAGAACCCTTATTATCCTAAACTGCTGGGACATTTCCCTTTAGCCAATATCTTTATATTTTCTACTCTTCACTTACTTGTCAGCAAAGGTCGCCATTGATGTACAGAGCCAACAAAATACCTTGTTTATATCATCATATTGAAGCCAACTCCATCGATCAAGCCAGTATGGCTGAAACTTTCTCTCCCTCTTCTTCTCATACTCCCTGTCATTCTCCTTTAGCTCCTCCGGTGACATTCTTTTATTTGAAGATTGCTGTTTGCTTTTCACCCAACAACGACAACCGACTCACGAAACGCTATGTTGTAGCAATAATAAACGAAACAATTTAACAAAATTACTTGTTAAGAACCAATACCACTGGACAATTTTTTTTTTTAAAGCAATATTTTTAGTGGCCCGAGCGGGCAAGTGGAAAGTACGTTATGCTGGCCTGGGGTGTCTAAATAGATGCTACAATTCTTTAGCATATCACAATCACAAAGAAAGTACAAAAAAACGACATTAAGTACTGTCTTATTCAGAAAGAAGTTACTGACATGAGGATGTCGTGGGCTCTCTCAAGGAGTTTGCTACTGGCAGAGTTGACAAAGATGCCGTCTTCTTCTGTGGTGGAGCTGCTGGTAGAAAGGCATCGGAGTCGACCCACGCGCCCGTTCCAGCCAAGGCCCGGAGAACTCCTGTAGACAAAACAATAACACACAGATCAATTAAAGTGATTAATTGATGAAAATTGACATACATTATGTATAGTCACTTTTACAAGACACCTTTGAAGCAAACTCTTGATAGGTATGATTTGATAGATGCAAAGATAATACAAATATGGTTTGGGATACTTTTATTACAATTATTTATTTTTTCTGAATTCTTTTCGACCTTTATACCTTAAACTAAACAGTTAGTACTCTGGGTCATAATACATTTCTCACCTCTATTATGACATATTTAAAAAAGCATCAACAGTGTCTTTTGTCTCTGTGAGGGAAATATTTTTCTCAGGAACAAATCTCCCCAGCAGGGGCAGTAACTTCTGTGTATTTCATCTCACAAGTGATTCAACACAGTTTACTGAAGCCTCAAAGGGTTTAAACCTCAGCCTCAAGGTGAAACCTAACCACCCTCCCATAAGGCAAACAAAAACATGTGCGGTCAGATCATGGTTAAAACCATTAACCAGTCTAAGCTTTTTTAGCCAACAGGAGTGGACGGAGCAGCAAAGGCAACTGAGGTACCAACAATATCCACCATCATTGACATAATTCCCAGTGTAGTTGTGGCAGTAGCAGCCTATCATTAATTCAGCTCCACTGAAGTACTTTGATTGCAGTATTATAATTTATGAGTGTACAAGAATGCCTCCTGATGAGTTGCAAGCCGCAAACTATGACACATAGACAACAGTAGCGAGATGTGTTAACTTCTACTCTGTTATTAGCAGGGAGTTGAATCATTCCCACAGAGAAAACAAGGTGGCACACGAGCCAGTGGGAAGGTTCTTAATGGCTAATGAAACTGAAAGTCTCTCCAAAACAGACCCACAGCTTTTTAGTGCAGGGATAGCAGTTTGATTTGGAAACCATTTTACACAGCTGAATTATGAAAATATGCTTTTAAAAAACATAGATTACGCTTGTTCCACTTCAGTGTTGCCGTTGAAATAAACCGCAGATCGTTGGGCTCATGTTTCAAGCTTCTTCTGTGCACAAGAAGCATAATGCTTTGGTCAAATATTTTGTGTTTTGAATTTGAAATACATAATGTAGACATGCTGCAAATAGAAACCAGGTGTCTGTGGAGACATGAAAACACAGCACAAACGTGTGACTGGCTTTTTCATTAGTTTTCTCTCTATGGAGGCTGCACTTCTCCACTGTAATCATCACAGTCTGGGGTAATTCTTCCAAGAATCCCAGAGGAATCTTAAAGATGTATATGATTTATACTACTAGCCTGCATTACATTTAAAATACTACATATTACAGCGGAAGATCCACAAAGCTCAAGTATGTAAGTGTAAATAAAAGTTGTTGGATTTATATTGGTTTCTGGATTTATGTCTCCATCTTCATATAGTCTTCTGCAACTATTTAAGGGTTTGTTGTGAATGACCACATAATAATATAAAATAAAATAAATAATGTTTGACGTCACAATGTTAGCTAATGAATAATGACAAATACTCAGTTTCTATCTGGGCTACCATATAAAGAAAATTAGTTAGAATTACTCCCCAGTTGATCATCGGTCTCAGTATATGGTAATGCTACAATATGCTTCTTGTAGTGAATGTTTATCTCCATAGTCTCTCTTAAGAGTCCCATAAAGCATTGCACTGTCCGCTGTCTGTCCAGCAGACAAGTACTCTGCAGGGACTTCATATTTATCGCTCTCTGGGCTCTCCTCTCAGATGCATAGCTCTGACTTTACATCACCGAGGAAGCAGCTGCAGAGGGTTTAGTACTCTCCTATGTAGAGGATGGGTGTGCGAGTGTGAGAAAGAGACATGTAGAGGGGGGGAAAGGTTGCAAATCAAATTAAGGAGGTGGGGGGGTTAACAGCCCCAGACTGAGCTCCTGTGTAACAAAAGCTGTCTGTACCAGCCGCTCTGTGCCACCACTGGTGCGCTGTCGCGGGCTGCTAATCCCACTGTCCACAGCTAATTAGAGGAGGTAGTCTACCAAATGCTCGGGTCACAGCACAGTTATCACTCCCTTTTTTTCAAGGCATGCCATGTGTGTCTCAATGCCCAGAGGATGATATACTTACAATATTGATAACACAAAAATATTTAAAGAAGGCTAGTGCAGCTGAAGGGAATCAAAGGGTTTCATATACTTTATTATGCTTATAAGAATCACTTGAGGCCAAGGGGGTAAGTACTGGGAAAATATGAACCATAACGTCACTGGTTTGAGTTCAACTGGGAACCTTTCTCCCCTAATTTCTCCTAATAAGGTTCACAAAACACAAAATTACAAAAAATCATCTTAAACGAAAAAGAAAAGAATCTTACCGTGGTGAGTTCTCATTGATGGTGTTGCTTCCTTGAAGGTCTGATAGTGGGGTTCGAGGACTCTTTCTGGTCACACCTGATCACGAACAAACGGGTCGGCATTTTGTGAAAAAGCACAAAAACACACACTCACACACAAAGAAAGACTTACACACAAACACACACACTTACACGCAAACAAAACAGACATAGAGACACTTAAACCCTTCCCATGTAAATAACCTCTATGTGACACTCCAGTGTTATTCCAGTGAGTGTTATGTGCCTTTTTATAGAAAATATAATCTGCTGCAGATGATTTCATATTAAAAGATGGTAAAATGCTTAAATAATTGAAGCTAGTTGGGTCTGGATTGTTTGCTTAACACATAAGTTATTTAAAAATACCAATATTGAACACACATGTTGTTAAGTAGTCAGCTATCTGATGATGTAAAGCAGGGAGGTGACCTTTCAGTTGAACTAAAGAGAATTTAAAAAAGGTAAAATTGTGAGCCAAATGGGTTTTCAAAAGCTTTTTGTGGCTTTGTTTTGGTGGTGATACGCCTAAGCAATCAATCATAGAGAAGAGATAACAGATATCTACTGTGTATGTTAAACTACCTAAAATAAATATGTTATCTGATGTGTGAACATTATACCGTTTTCAGTTTCATCACTTTGTACAACATTTTCACTTTGATCAGGAGCTGCAGGGTGGCCCAAAACAAGAACACACATGTGGGTGTAATGAAATGAAATAGTGCAGGAAAGCGATCTGTGAGAGAAGTGTGTGTCCTGCACCACATGTAAAGATACCTGTGAGAAAATGAGTGTTTTTTTTTAGTCTTTCTACCACCACCACCAGTGAACGTGGTATTAGTGAGAGGTGAAGCCTGTTGATTTCAGATGTGTGCTGTGGTGGACAAGCAACTTCACCCACTGCCCCCCCCCCCTACATACCGGACAGGACATGAGAATGTAGCCGTGTGACGAAACAGAGAGGGATGGACACCTACAGGTGTTACTGTGTTGTTTCCCCACACCAAAGTAAACTGAGCAATACAACCCATGCATTTCTCTGCTAGCCTTTTACTAGAACAGTGTAAGAGACAGATTGGTTGGAGCATGCTAAACAAGAACAACATGCAAGACAAGACTAAGAACAAATGCATGCAGGTGCATACAGTGAGAGAGGGGGAAGAGGGAAACGGAGGGAGCGGAGGCCAACAAGCATCTAGTCTAATTAAAGAAAATAAGAGTTGCAAATCAAATCACAAAGCAGAAAATAAGACCTGTGTTTAAAGTTGTCATATTATTTTGAGCTCTTTTTTCTTGACTTTTGCTCAAGTACGGTGCAGTAAAGTCGATGATGTTGGTCAGCCTTGTCCCTACAGTTTCCCAGGTTATGGTCCAACATTAAAAAGTAACAAGGAGTTTTTATTGTATTGGCAGCCTTACTGTGCTTCTCCTCTTTGCATCTCTGCAGGATCTCTAAGCTTCTCTGATGCACAGGGTGCTGCAGAAAGCTAAAACTATCCACACTTTTCAAAACTGCACAGGGAGCAGCGTCATCATGCCCTTGGAGAAGCAAAACAAAAGAAAAACAAGAGAAAAAATACACAAGGAAAGAGAAAGGGGGGGGGAAGAAAGAGAGAGATGACAGGTTAGACAGCGAAGAAAAAGAGATGCAGTCGTCTACTGGAGAGATACCTGTGCAAGACTTCTGGAGAGGAGATGATGGACATTCACCACTGCAGTTGGCTGCAGCATTAGATGTTTGTCATTGTAGTTCTGTGAGTAGGTTCGTCCCCCAAAGGCACTCCCTTACAATGTCTTCTAGAAGTTTTTTCTGATACTACAATTTAGTCATTTTAGGCAGTGAGGACTAGCCCATTATTATTTCATTTAACATAAAGGACTTCAAAACTAATTTGATTTGCAGAAATGTTTCAGAAGACATGTAACGGGTTACCTTGAGTGACTGTTAAAAGGATTTCTAAAAGATAGCTAAGGATGAGCAAAGGATACAAGACTTCTACAGTATTTTCACATAACAACATCTACATGTACAGTGATACTTAAGGAAAGGATCAAGAGGGTGCAAAGTCTGATTCTTTAGACGGCAGTGCTAAAAGAAAATCTAATGGTAATATCTAGAGCATGGCACGTTTATCCAAGGGAAAAGAAGGCATTCATAGGCCGAAGCTCAGAGGGACAAAGAGAAAGAAATACATGGCAGCACTATGCACACACACTACAGAAGAGTGACTACCGAAAAATCACATATTGCTGAGATAAAGCTAACTATAGTTAAAGGGAGAGGACTAAACCAAGTCTGCATGGCATGTGAGTAGAGAGTACTGTGCTTCTGAAAACTAAAACATAATCAGTACTGTCATTTCATGCTGTTGATTGGATCAAATGTGCTTGTAGCAAGAGATGGTAAATAATCCTATAACCATTATTCTCTTTTAGTAGTTTGATAGTTCACCGTTGTTCTTGTTGTATTAGAAAGTCATAGATGCCCACATGCCATTCACTAAAGTCAATGTCGTTTCCCTTTTCGTCGATTCTTTAGTGCTGCTTTGACAAAGTGAGCAAATATTTTCATCATTTATTCTAATAAAGATTGCAGAAAAATGCAACAAATAAATAAAAAAATATAATTAAAAATGTTAAAGACATTTGGTGATGACAGATAGATAGATATATAATAGTCCTTTGACGTTTGAAGCTCAGATGAGATTTCTCATCTCATTTATGGAGGGAATGCTGCCTCGCCGCTTTAATGTGCATATAAGTGGAGTTTTGCTAAGTCAGGGAGCTCACCAGGCTTTTTCTGCGTGTGTCTCTTCCCGGCCTCTCTGAAAGCCACCAGGGCCCTGAAGTAGGCTCGGAGTACCGCCCAGCGGAAAGTGGCAGAGGGTTCGATGCCCATCAGCCCGCAGATGAAGGCGTTCTTGCTGCTCTTCAGTAAAGCCACGATGTCTGGACGCATGTGGTCTGTGTTCTTTTCCCTGAAATCCTGTGTGTGGCAGAGGAAAAAAAAAGAACTGTATTATTGGTCTAGTTTTGTGGATCTACATTAGCTTCAGCCATAGCAGTTGCTCACGCCCCCCGAAACAAATGTGTTATTGGTGATATTTGGCTATAACCTTTGACTGGACAAATCTTTAAATTGAAAGATGATCCAATAATTCATCTGGCTATTCAATATTCAAAAAGCATCATAAATTCAGATATATAATGTCATTTTCTCTGATTTAAAACTTAAAAATGTAAGAACTCTTTGATTCTCTAATACTGATTGGTATCTGTACACAAAAACCCTAAGCATAACTTTAACTATGTATAAAGTCTTTGGATATCTAATTTGTATGAATCCACATACGTACAGAGAAGGATATGTATGTGTTTGACCAGTACTTCAATAGAGCTGAAAAAAAGTCAGGTAAACCTAGAAAAATAGCTTATGAAAGCAAGCAAACTGAATACAATCTGGCGCAATTATAGTCTGTTACGCATATCAATAATATTAAAACGGTATGAAAAACAAAACAAAACAAATGATCAGTTTTTAAAATAATAATGACGATGTGTTTGAGAACAAGTTTTGGGGGCGCTTTCCAATTTCTTCCTGTCTAATCAATGACTGTATTAGGAAGTGTGGATGACACTGACCTTGACCCCGTACTTGACCTTGCCGGCATAATGTCGGATAATGAAGGCGGGCTCCATGACAGCAGGGAACTCGATGTAGCTGTTCCCCTCATGCTGCCGCTTGAACTTATCCAACAGGGTCTGGTTGGTGGCCTGAGGGAAACTGAAATCAAAGAACAGGAGAGTTTAATTTGAAGTACACTATGTTTTTACATTTGTTTTTTTTTTATATGAAAGCATATCCAGAAAGGACTTCTGCTGGGGAAATCACAATGTTGATGCACCTGCTTTAAAGCTCTTAACTACAGTACGTCATGAACACTTCAGTATAAATCACTGTAAATGTTCCTCGTCAACATGTAGCAAATCAATTAAAGACACAACTTTTCCACCAGTCTCTAATTCACAACAACAGCAATTATTGTGGATCCTTGAAACGTGGCAAGTCATCTGATCTGTAACCAGTTTTGACATTTTATCCTGTGACGCCACAGGGTGAGGAGGATTATCACTCTAAGCTGATCTTGGTTCAGATTTCCCTTTCGTCCTTTAATATAGAGAGCCAGCGATTCTGCAGAAACAGCTTACAGGAAGAGGAGAGGGAAAGAAGGAGACACCAGGGGTTTTTGGAGCGGGGTGAAACCTGATCTATGAAGACAACACAGTCAAAGACTCCTTCCAGCTTTTCCAAGTGGGAGGAATTTGATTCAGTGTCCGTCCAAATAAAGAAGAGGGGGGAATACAGAAGGACTTATTGTTTGTAAGAATAGTCACATTGAAGCCAAGGAGCTGACAAGAATAAATGTACTGTTTAGAGGGTTTACGTTTTAGGCTACTCCATCAGTAGATTAGATTTATTAGCAAAAATTCCTTTAACATTATTATAATGTATATATTTTCTGAATGTTTCAATAATGTGCAGAATAGTTTTTCTACACACACTTTGAGCATGAGCTGATTTGTCACTCGCCTGCATCAGGGTAGAAATAAGTCTAGATTGGTTTGTATGTCCATATTTTGTATTTGGAAAAAAAGTAAAGTAAATGGATTCCAATATGTTTACCATTTAAGTGCCAGAGTTGATAATCAGGATATCATTGTTAATGGCAATTATTTGGCCTGGGTAAGCAATGCATGGAAATGAACCGTAGCTACTCCATATACCGGTAAGCTATTACGCTAATAAGGTAATAATGCCACCAGTTAAAGACTTAGTATTTAGGCCACTAAATAGGAATTCTGAAACAAGCCTGACTAACATGTTAGCTAAGTCAAAAACCAAGCAGACGTAGAGCATTTCAAGTGTTTGCTTATCTCTATTTTGGTCTGTAGATGCTTAATATTCATATTTTTTGCTAGCCGTTTATTCTGTCTGCCACGTATAATAATGTTAATGATACATATTATCTATTTTCCTGGTGCTCAAAGCGCCAAAACAATGTGCTGAAAGAGGAGGAAAAAGCAGCTGAAGAGAAGAGATTAGTTGACCATTTTCTGCGTGTGTGACACTACAATCTACTCATCTACATTAGACATTTTAAAAAGTGACATGCAGAGAGGAAGAATTACCTAGCTGCAGCTTTCTTTACACGTGCGAAAACGTTTTAGGCCTGAAAATTGTAGTTGTTTTGTTATGTATTTTGACATTATCAAACCAATCAACTGTCACGAAGCCCGCCAAGTTTGCTGCCAGAAATGTTTGATGGTTTGACTCAGAGGAACATAAAAAGAGCTTCCAAAGAAACAAACAGTTCCAACAGGAAAGCAGACAGCATGAAGACTCACTTGCACTCTTCGTCCAGGAGATGGAACAGCGCTGTGGGCTTCTTGCTGATCAGGTTGATGCAGCCTGTGTTGTCGATGTAGTCGATGTTGTGCCAGCTGATGCCCTCTGCCCTGTATTCCTCCTGCAGAAACACAATACAGAGAGAGATGCTCAATTTCAGTTATACTGTAATAATAATACTTTGCTTTCAAGCCATGTAAAAGGATGTAAGGACTTTATCTTTGGTTGAATTTTTAAAGTTTTCAGCAACACTTACTGCACAAAAACTATTATATATGCTATATTTACTGTCAAATTCAGTTTTAGGTTAGAATTATTGATGCTTGTGGTGGCATCAAAGACTAATAAAATGCTCACTAAAAAAGTAATAATTAACTTGACATCAAAAGCAGACAAGTGATCCTACAGTATGCAGGACAAGCTGGTTGAAATCTTTTAAACAAAGCAATAATGTTGTTGGTTTGCCCTCTTTCATGTTGTCTCCCTGTGCTATAAAACACTCTTCAGATCTTTTCCTGGGCTCTCATTCGGAGCATTTATCATTAATTCCTCCCCATATATTATTATGCTCCTGTCTTCCTGGGAAAGAGATTTAACCATAAAGACCTTAATCCAGGGGAAGTTTAATAAAAAACACTGGAATCTCCTTTTCTCTTCTCTTGTGACTCTACAGTCAGAAGCATGTTAATTAATGTTGCTTACTCCACAACTATAGGCAATAAAGGAGAGAGTTTTTAGTTCTGGACTTGAATGTAGCACATGTCTGATTGACTTCCATTGCTGGTAGAACTTGTAGAAAAATGTCCATATTTCCCTGAGATTACAACCGTCCAAGATAACCATCCTGTAACACTTCTTCTTTTGCACTGATTTTTTAGTTTGTGCTGAGCTATCGCCACTCAAACTATCCAACTCATCCTTATCAACAAAAGTTATATTTAACTTTTTTAAATACATCCTTCAACGGCAGCAATTACTCGCTCACTGAAAAGTGCAGCCGGCTGTCTTTTTGGAGACATTACGAATGCAGGAATTAAAGCGGTTTTGAGAAACAAAACAGTTATGTTTAAACGGTTTATTTAGTGGACAAAAATAACAATTTGACCTCCAATTCTGTATAAGCATTTAAAGTGGCCATTTATGGGATGATTGCAAAAAGGAATGCGGTCATCTCATCTTTCCAAAGTTACGTCATCTTAAATGTTTTGATGATTCTTGAAAATGACATTTAATCCAGCACTATACTTGAGTTGTACTATGCATGAAAACTACAAATGTTCCTACATACAGTATGTACAATACAACTATATTCTAAAATATTACAACAATGTGCAAATAGCCATTCTGCATAATGAGTATTTACTTTCTTACTTAAAGTTTGTTTTGCTGGTAATACTTTTAATTAGTTTTATTTTTAATTCAGGATCTTACATTTGATTAGAGTATTAAGTAAAGGATCTGTGAACTTGTTCCTCTCCTGGAAATATTGAAAAGTCCTTTATTCTTTTATAGAGAAGACTGACATAGTTGTTTTTTTTTCTGCAATGTAAAATATCCTCTTTCATGCATTTTTTGTTTTTATAGAGAAATTAAGAATGACATAAAAACAAGGTTTTAAAAAAAAGGCGTCAGTTAATGACACTTTTAACTCATATTGCTTATTCTTTTATTTTTCTGTTCACTCACTCAATTATATAATAAGTAAGTCAAAGCTGTACCACACGTGCATCTTTTCACAATATCAACATCCAGATCGTAATATTTGACTAATGACAGGTTTTTACTTGTGTGTGTTTTAATAACACACACTGGCTGGAAACTATAAAAGGAACATCTATGCAATATCATTTAATACAAAAGCTCTGGAATAAACGTTTGTGAAGCTTATAACATCCCATTTGCGTCAGATGGCTGCTGACTCGAGGCTTTGGTAATCGCTAAGCTGCGGTTAGTGGGGGTGTTGTATTAAATTGCGTTGTACAGGATACTGTATCCGCCCCCTGGACATGCCTTTAAATCATCTTCCAACAACAACAACAACAACTGTGATTCACTCTTATACTGACTCAACCAACAATACACTGAATGTGCGGATTCAGCTTCCACACAACTTATCTCAGATTGTGTTTATATTATTGTTTACAGTTTGTACTAATAGTGTTTTGGTTGAAACAATCACAATGTAAATTATAGCTTATTCCCTCCTAATGCTGTTTTATATGTCTCTGTCAGTCATCACAACTTTCATCAGATGCTTTTTTTTAAAATATATGTTGGGACTTATATATATTGGAAACCTTCCTTCTCACCATCACAGTAACAGATTAACAGGTTGGAAAACAGCTATTGACTGTTAAAATGGCCTACACCAAAAGTAAAGAGCAATGCAAAGCCGATAACTCACTTCATGATTATAATATATTATTATAGTTATTGTATTATTATACTAACATTCTCCTTTTTCCATTTCATGTCTTCCAACTATGCGATTACTGGCAAAGAGGTTGTTTGAAAAGGTTGAAAAATAGAGCAAAAGAAGAAAAATAATTACTATTTCGCATTACAATGACCATCAATGTGCCCTTAAGCAAACCGTGTAGCCCCTATGTGCTCCCAGCAGTGACTCACTGTTCGACAGATGAATGGAAATGTACCGCATGGATGTAACCGTAGATGAGGGTGTGAAACTTGCTTCAGCGGAAATATGAACTATGCCAGCACTTGGACCACTTGGTTGAATCATTTTGGGAGGCTTTCAGACCACTTCAGTGGTGCACATCGATATTTCCACATACAACTAATTATTTACTTCGTAATGGTTTACAGTAAACCATTACGAAATCATAAGCTCTCCAGTATGCTCTGATCAAGACTGTGATGCAGTTTAAATCAATGTTATAATGTAAAAACTCCATTATCATGTGACATAATGTGTAAAGATGTGGATTTAATTCTCTTTTCCTGATAATATCGATGATGTCTGATAGAAAACAGTACTGTGGCTGCAGTGTGATTCATGGAAAACATTAGAAATCCATATGAAAACACATTTACTGTTCACCAGCAGAGTAGTTGGGTCTAGTGGGGGTCAATATACTGTAAATCAGATCAACTCTGTCATTATTTGTTTGAATGGTTATTTACTGCTGGGTTTTAAGTCTCTGACAAAACACATAGTGACAATACATCAGCTCAAGCGCACACATTCTGAATGGGAGCCTATCATAAACAATACTCTAGTGTACGTACAAGCAGGCCAAATCAACTATGTTTTTTTCAAGGTTACAGTGTGTTTTGTTAACATTTAAATTGCCTTATCACCCTATCAATTCACTGTTCGTTACGCAATCCCACTCAATACACATTTTAATCTTCAACATTAACACAACAAAAAAGATTATTTGCCACAGTGAGAAAATCAGGCTGCATTTAAAGGAAACAACACCAACAAATAAAATCAGGGCAAACACCATGAGCAATTTAGTTGTGCTCAAGGCTGAATCTACTCTGACCTGTTAATTCTGCAACCAGTAGCACAGGAAGTAATGTGCAAACACTGGCAGCTGAAGCCTCAAAGAGAGAAAAGTGAAAAGCTGGTACAAGATTGAGATCTATGAACTACTAGTTATTATGGCCAACTAATATTCAGTCTGATCTCAAACATGTTTCATAAGGAAGAAGCATCGTACAGGGATGAGTAGAATTGTTTTAATTAAAATAAATAGTTTGGGGGCAAGGGCAAACCAAGTACTTATTGATTGTATTCTTAAAATTCTGCACATCGCATCTTTATAGATTTTTTAAAACTTTACACACAGCCTGTGCATGTTTACATTTCTTCTCTGCCGAGGTTGCATTTAAACATGGATGCTTCACGGGTCTTAACAGGTTTGCGATTTGAAGCTTCATAAACCTTTACATTTTATTAAGAACAAACCAGCTTAACATGTGAATCTGACGAGTCAACACAATAATTCAGCATTTCCCTGAAAGTAATGCTTCAACCCATAAAATGAACATTTGTTTAACAGTTACACACACTGTGTTATCTCGAAATCCTCACAAAAACATGGCTTTTTTTGACATGACTTTTCTAAATTTTCTTATTCTTAGTTCATCATGGCGGTATGGAAGAATAAATTGCGTTTTGAACAAGGGACTTGATGTAAAAATGATCATTAGGTGTTACGTTTTCCTTTAACCTAACCCCCAAAACAAAGAAGTTGTTCAACACTCTTGTCATGACATATCTGGCGTATAAATCTTGACATATTTAGGGCATTGGGATTAGAAAGGGTTTGTGAACAACTGCCTTTGTACAAAGACCAGTCACCTTGGGGACACAGTCCTTCAGTCACAGTGTGTTTCATGAACAGCATGGACGCTTGTCAAACATGTCAGGGCAGGGCTTCTGGTTCAGTCAATGGCAAAGTAAACACAATGTTTAACCTAAAGGAACCTCTTACAGATCAGGACTTAAAGGAGCCCTTTGAAGTCAATTAGCTCACTTAAGGGAACATACATCATAGTCGGGTGGTCACAGGGAGTTGAGTCATATGGGTGTCAGCAACCTTGTTGCATAATGTGATGAAGAATTCCTCCATTGTGGAATTGTCATTGTAATGTATGTAAACTGGGTGGCATGAAGCATTTCCTTGGACATAGTCACAGCCAAAAAAATAAAATCGGCAATATGTTACAATAACAGTTGCAGTAATACAGCAGTTCAGAAGTTCAGCTCCCAGTCAAAGCCTTGAACAGGAAGCCACTAACTAGGAATGATGGACCTTGAGAAAGAAGAATATTTAGGAAATGTCTTACCTGTTCAAGCTTGAAGATATGCTGGTTGAAGTAGTGCTGGAGACGTTCGTTAGCAAAGTTGATGCAGAACTGTTCGAAGCTGTTGTTTTCATAATCCTCAAATCCGAAGATATCGAGCACTCCAATAGACAAGATCTGAGGAGGAAAAACAAAGAAAACATGAACAAAATATTTCCTCATAATAATATGATCAGTAATAGGATTTTTAAAAGCTTAGACACTGTGTCATTGGTATAAGTTATACATCTTAGTGTAGAGGTGGTTGTGTTTTCAACAAGAGTTTAATATGCAATACTAAAATGTATTTGTTTAACTCATGGGTGATTTCATGAGTCGATGTGTTTGTGTTGCCCAACCTTGGTGGTCTCCTCCAGGTCTTTAATGTTGAGCAGAGCGTGGTTGATCCTGAAGACGATCCAGTCAAACAGAGCACTGTACAGGGACTTCGCCATGGAGTCTCGCACCGTACCGGCCTGCAGGTAGACACATACAACAACTTATTCAAAACTGAAAACGGTGAATGAGGAATACAAATGTTTTCTTTTTATCTTTGAGTATTGATTGAACAAATTAGATACACCATTGTAATAACAAGTTTAGAGGAGCTGGTTGGTGGGTTGCGTTACTCGTGCAGAAAGCTGGGCTAGCTCTTTCTCCCGTGCTTCCTGGTATTTATGCTAAGCTAGGCTAACAGGCTACTGGCTTTATAATACTGTCGGACATGAAAGGTGTGTCAACTCCTCATCTAACCATCAGCAACAAAAAGCAAATGAGCGTTATACCCAACATGTCCAACAATTCTTCAACTTTAGGTTTATGAGGAATAGTTGAGCAAAGCTTGAAGAGTTTGAACAGAAATATAAAAAACAAAAACACAGGGAATAGTCAGGAGTCGTGCTCAGCTCTGACTAGAAGGCCAGAGAGAAGAAGTGAGTCTTTAGTGAGGATTTAAAAAACTCTAGTGTCTGGGCCCTCACATGGAGGGGCAGAGTGTTCCAGAGCCTAGGGCCAGCTGCTGCGAAGGCTCGGTGACCTCGGGTTTTGAGCCTTGGGCACTATCAACAACAGCTGGTCAGCAGACCTTAAAGCTCTGGCTGGGGTGTAGTGCTGGAGGAGTTCGGCTCTATAGGCCGGAGCCAGCCTATTTAGTGCTTTGAAAACAAATAAAAGGATTTAAAAAATCAATTCGGAACCGAATTGGAAGCCAGTGAGGCCAGAATTGGGGTGATGTGGTCCCGCTTTTTGTGGCCAGTCAGAAGACGTGCAGCTGCGTTTTGGACTAGTTGCAGGTGTTTAATTGAGGCCTGGTCCATACCCACAAACAGAGCGTTGCAATAGTCCAGTCTTGAGGTAACAAAGGCATTAATAACCCTTTCTAGGTCTTTAAAATATAAATACGACTTGGTTTTGGCCAATAGTCTTATTTAAAAAAAGCAGGATTTGTATGTATTATACATCAGGGCTAGGTCTGGTTACAATGCCCTTTTCTACAGGTCCAGCATAAAGAAAAAACACAGTGAATGGAGGCATTGATAAATTGAAAATAAAATAGATTTATGTTATGTTCTATATTTGAAGCTCAGACAAAAATGGCCCCGTTTAAAAAAAGTTTTCTGAAGAGCCAAGATGTGCAGACAGTCCTATTTCTCCTTTATAACTGAACACTTATGGCTTGAGTGTAAATCACTTCCTCACTGCACTGGCAGCAGTCACTGGACTCAGAACTCTTACTGGAAAATGTATAATGGTTCCTAAAAAAGCTACAATTCAGATTGAAATGAAAAACAGGACAGCACTACCAACCAAACACATCACTACATTTTTGGCACAGACATGCTGGCCGACTGCACTTATCACAGCAGGATGTCCCCGGGCCTTTATTATTGTCATTACCACATCAGCTTTTCTTATGAAATCTGCCAAAACAGTCTAATGTGGCACAAGGATGCGTGTTATTAAAATATGAGTCAGGCCTGATGGAAATATTAGCTTTAATGGGCTAAACATAACACTTTCATATAATGAGGAAATTCTGGGGAAATCAGCATGTTACATTACATGTCACTTGTTAGACGCTTTTATCCAAAGCGACTTACATACTCAATACTGTGAGCAATCCCCACAGGAGCAATTTGGGGTGAAGTGTCTAAGGGACACAACAACATGCTGACTGCAGTGGGGTTTGAACCTGTTCTCCCTTGATCCGAACACCAACGCTCTATCCACTGCGCCACACGCCTCATACACATAAGATATTTGGAAGATATGAAAAATAATAGAGTGCTAGATAAATGCTCTGTGTTTTTTGAAAGCAAGGAGATTATTTGACAAAATCCTTGTGAGATTATTGAAAAAAGATTTCTAATCCCCATATCCGCTGGAAAGATTTGACCTTTCAGCAGCAAAGATGAGCAATGGTTTCCAGAAACAAAACAAACCATGAAAATGCAATTGTTTCTAAATAATTAACAAGGATATTCTTTAGAAAACTCGGACCAAACATGCCTTCCATGAGTCAGGACAGATAATATTTGGAACACGGCTACATACTGCAGTCTAATGACCCATAAGCTTTTCATTATTTAGAGGAAGCTGGACTTAAAACACAGAGGGAAACAGTCTCATAACTCTGAGCAAATGGAGAAAAGTCATTACAGAAACGCACAGATTTATTTGAGGTTTTCAAGTGTATGATTTTAGTTAACAGGCAATGAGATTGTTGTGACTGTTAGAGCAATATTTACATAGAGACCACCCAGTGAGCTACCAAAACAATCTCTGTTTCATATAAAAAGGTTCTGAAATATCCAACAGGCCATTATGAGGTTGTATGTGTAACACACCACCATCTTCTAGGAGAGTTTGTGGTAAGAAAAACAGCTGGGATAGATGATCTTGGTGAACATTGTGAGCTATTTGTACTGGATTATAATGAGATGACTTAAAGAAACTCACTGTATGTGAACATGAAAATGATTAAGATTTGATATGATTGGTATTTGACGTATATAGCAACCATGACACGTTTAAAAGTTGACTAAATACTTGTGCATTGCAGTATCTGAGTAAAAACCCTTAATTCAAACTGGCACTGTATCCATGTTTCCTCTTCACTTTCAGATGGCTCTCATCTGCAGACCGTGACGTGTGTTTGTTTTCAATGAAAACTGTAGAGGGACTTGAAATGCATTCCTGTCTCTGTAAACACACTGAAGGACTTGGTGCATGTGTGTGTGTGACTGTGTGTAGCCACAGACGGTAAAGCTGCAGTGAGTGAGAGGAGTGCAGGCGGAGATCCGGCCCTGGTACACGCTGCCCTGTAAACACAGCCGGGTCAGACTGAAGACCCAAGGCTGCAGCGACGTCATAGACTTGGCAAACTGCCTTCAGTTTCAATACTGATAATTACTTTATATACTTTTCAAAAATGATCAAAAGTCATACAAAAACTCATATGGCCTTATATTTAACTCCAATTCACTACTACAGTAAACAGTATGCACTAAACAGTCATCTCGTTTGTTTGTTTTTTCCAGGTGTGAGCAGCTCCGTAATTTCCTCATATGCATTGCATTCTGGGACAATAGTGGACATTACAGGGAAAATAGAATTACACTTCTATATAAGTATAAATACTTTGTGTATTCAGATAAATTTAAGAAGTTGCCTGTTATTTACACCGTAGGAAAGTGATGTTGCATGAAAGTAATAGACATTAATCATCACTTGGGGGAACTTGAAAATTGTAGTAGCACTGCAGAAACAATCACTGAGGGAATATCAGGACTTATAAATTCATTGGCCTGTGAGCAACGAGACGAAGGGGAGGGAATGTTTTGGTGCATTTCTGTGTCCACATTCCTAAAGTCGCCATGTTTAATACGTCACACTAGTTTGATATTTAAGGTTAGCACTGCTATTAGGAGAAGAGTCTCACCTCTGAAAGTTTGTAGGGAACAATAAGCTTCTCTCCGACAGTGACCGTCTTCCGTGTCGTCAGAGCTTCAAACAGCATCTCTTCTTTCACCTGATTGGAAAAGCAAGAGAAAGTAAAATACATGTAATCACAACTGATGATAAAACATCATCATTGTTTAAAGAAAATCAACAGTTTGCGCTGTGATTACAGCATCCTGGATAATTTAAGAGAAAGTCTGACACTCCTTTAAAGTTGCCTTTCGTCTCTGACAGTGCTTCAGTATTTGTGTGGAGGTTAGCAGCTGGAAAAAGTGCTTTAAACATCTACAGTAGTAACTCAATTGTCTCTTCATAAGACTACTTATGTTAAAAGACTACTTACATTAAACTTTACTAAACTGTAAACATTAGGCCCCTATATGTATTTATTAACTACTTCAGGCTGCAATGGAAATCTACATGCTCCAGTCAGAGCGCGCTTATCATGTTGGACTTTGAACCATCCATCTTTATGCAAACACACATTTAGACAATAAGCAGGAATAACAGTTTGGCAGTACCTCCAGTAGTTCTGAGACGACAGGCAGAACCTCTGGGTTACAGATGTCTATCGAGTCCTCCCTGTAGGTTTTCCTCTTGTAGCGGATGTTTCCCAGGTGAAGGATGGCGGAAAGCAGGCAGAAGATCCTAAACAAAAGTTCCGGTAATATTTTAGCAATGCCACAATGGAAAAATACTGTGGGGTTGTCAGCAGCTGGAATCCTTTTGCGTTTGAACTGCAACAACACGTTCCTCTACACACAACCATTTCTCATTGTGGGGACTTTCATTGTACAGTTTATCTTTTCACACACTCATTTTGGTGGTGTGTCACTCACTGTTTGCGCGTGGAAGGGAGAAAGCCCACCATCTCCATGGCCTGCTGAAGCCTCTCAAAGTCATGCTTCAGGTCTTCTCCTTCAACATTGAAGCAGTCCTGCTTTTAAAAAATAAACAGCACCCTGGTTTAATTAGGTTTACAGCAGCTGTTATGACAGCGGCCATCCCAAAGGAGCTGCTGAACAGTTACTATGAAACACGTACAAAAGACTGCTGACATATAGTGCCCAAATGTTTTAGATGAGTCCAGCAAAGACGCTTAACATTGTTTCTTAGTTTACTTAGCAGCTGAAACAAATAAACAGCACAGTGGCATGAAGCAGACAGAATGAAAGACTCAATCTAAAATGAGCTATCATTAAGAAGAGCGGGGGTCAAACAGCAGTCTGATGTGCAGAGCGTGGAGTGAACAGCAGCTTGTGCAGGTTCTGCTCATGGAGCTGATAGGAGCAGCAGTTTATATGTTGTACTGTGTTTGAGTGATGGACAACAAGTTAAAGTATCATAGGGGAGAAACAGGAGTGCTGTCTGCAGAGAGGCCGTGCAAACCTTACACCTGCTCATTTCTGTAACATACAGTACTGTATAGGGCTTCCCCCCTTTAAGTATACAAGTAAGAGCAGGGCATCAGACAGGAGAATAACCCCAATCCTAGACTGTCACTCTATAAAAATGATAAAGTTAACCAGTTGGAGAAACAGCCTGATTCGCCACAGATGAAACCATTAGTGGACTGTGGATAATTGCTAACTGTTTTAATTTACGATAAAGCGTAAAAATGGCAGAAAATGCAGTTTAGCATTTTAAATGGGGACATTTCCTGTTTTTCTTTCTGTTACTTATTTCATATTAAACTGAATGTTTTTGAGTTTTGGACTAACAAAACAAGAAATGTAGATAATAGACATCGCATTAGACTTTGAGAATCTGTAATGGACATTTTTCACTATTGCCTGGTATATTGTAGATGAAACAATCAATCAAGAAAATGGTCTTAATCGAGAATAAGTGCAGATTTCATTGACATGAATACAATCATTACAAGTAAAACAACTGCATTGCAACTAAATGCCGCACAGTATGTGAAGGGGTATACTTGTAGATAAATCTGGACCTGGATTATTTGTTTACCAAAAGAGGAAGAGCTTTTCCCAGACTTGAACCACATGCTTTGATGTAACCACATAATTACACAGTTCACTACACATACACCCTGCGTAATGTGAGCCCTGCTCTTTGCTTTATGGGCCCATTCCACTATGGCTGCCATAATTATCACATACCGAGGCCTCAGGAAGACAAACACTCCAAACATGAGACTTGCACTTACACCGGCGTGCCTCCCTTCAGCATCCCTCGCTGTCTGCTCTCATGGCAGAATCTCACGCTGACCTAATAGTGACTGACGCACATTTTATACTAGGCAGGGAAATCTACATTTACTATAGAAAAGTTGCTCTGACTTATTCTTCTCTCAGGTGAAAACAATCTGTCAATCTATCCTACATCTGTCAATGTAATAAAGAGCATGTATATATTTAAACAAAGATCATAATCATTATATATCAATTTGGAATTACATATACTTTGTCCACCTGTAATTATACAGGTATTGTTCTTGCTGTATTGAAAAAAAATTCTTGTATGGTTACTGCATATATTGTGTATTATTATCATTCACTAATGATGTCAGAGTTTATATTAGCTACAGAATGCATCTCACAGTAACATTTAAATTGAATTCACTTACAGGTTAAAATGAGATTAAGAGAGAACCATTACATTCATTAAATAATACCCCGGGAAGAAAAAAAGCCCACCAGAAAGGCAAAACAAATAAATTCCAACACTAATCACAAAATACTTTTTCGATCATTGACATCAATAAATTAAAGTCAATCTACGGCTACAATTGATTTGAATCAGATCCAGTGAGTGAGAGGTGAGGGTGTGTCTTTAAGCAAATACTTTGTGGCAACATATAATGCTGCACAGCCATTAACTACAAGTGAACATGGCTTGTATCTGCTATACATTATGTTTACTCAGTGGATTTTAGGAGTGATACTCAAATATTTGTTCGACTACCGAGTAAAGTCTTATAAATATATTTTTATATTCTTGGGAGATTTAAATTACTTTAATTATGAAATACTCAATTTTCATAATCAGCATTGTTTCTTTTACTAAGTGAGGACCTCATCACCAGCATGGAGGATTTCACTATTGCTTATAGAAAACACTGCAGTGTCAATGATCAAAAAAGTCAAACAACAAAACACATCAAAAACAAACAAAGCTGAAATAAACATTATCCACACCAAACCAGGAAATGTCAAAAAATTAGCAGAGGGGGAGGAGAGGGGGAGGAGAGGATTGTGCAACTGTGCATGGAAATTGTAGTTTGATCTAAAGGTGCTCAGTTGATCAGAATATCTACTTGTTGAGGTTTCTCCGACACACACAGACAGCACACACACAGATACTGACCGGTTCACTATCACAGTAACTGTCCCAGTGCAGTTGGTGGGTTGACTTTGGCATCTGGAAATGTTAGGGCAGAGTTCACATGGGGAGCAGGGTTACGGTTAGACAGCAGCATTCAAATGAAGACACAATCTGTTCACTAAACACAAACGCATATGCAACTAATAGCAATGGAGGGACGTGCTGTTAAGACACAAGCATTAGCTGGACGTTACAGCTCTATTTGGTAAATACAGGCCAGCAGTCAGGCTTAACATATAAAAGCATTTAGACACTAATGAAAGAGAAAGCAATCACTTTATAACAAGCACATGTCATGATTAAAAACATGATAAACAAGTCGATAAAGCAGGAGGAGATGGTAGATTAAAGTTGCAGGTTTGAAAGACTCATGGACATAAAGGATTCAGATTTGTTTAACCCATATCATTATCATTTAATATTTCAAGCATGTTCAACCTTTTAGTTAATAATGAAAACTTCATTATTAACTAAAAGGTTGAACATGCTTGAAATATTAAGTCTACCACAGCGCAAAAACTCTGTTTTAAGTAAAGGTAACTATTGGATTGCATGATGTTCCAGTTTGTCAGGATGGACTGTTTTACATGTTTATTTCAGGTCTGTTCAAAAAGGCGGGAAAGATACCATCTAAGATTTATGAATCTGCTGATGAAACCAACATTTGGAATAAATTACAACTTTCATAGAGTATGTCTGCTCGTATGTCTGCCTTTCTTAATTTTCTCAGCATCCTATCTGGTCAAAGCAAAGCATTTAAGCAGCCAGCAAGACTGTCAGGGTGTCCTTAAACACACTATCTTTTTGTCTCAACTTATAACTGCATTGCCACACAATACTAACATAACTTTGGACAAAAATGTTTAATTAATTCTGCGCTTATTGCTAATCTAATTGTTGTCATATTTGAGGCTTCAAAAAGTTTATTTAAATTTAGTTGAATGCAAGTTTAAATTAATTAGTTCCAATAGAGTGCCACAGTGAATCTTAAAATCTATCGATTAGATTTATGATTCGAAATTTATAAAAGTAGGGTCACTGTATTGTCTTGGCTGGTCAAATGTACATGTGTGGTTAATGGCTAGTTAAGAGATGCAAAACCACAGGTGAGGCTCTCAAAGCAAAATGCACTATGAGTAACAGACCAAAGTAAGACAAATTATAAACTGGTGAAAAAAACTGGCATGATTGCTACACGTGTTTGTAGCTTGTAAATAAGTCAACGTTATTGTTCTTTATTGTGCCGACAGGGTGAGCAGTAAACTCTAGTTAAAAATTGTAATGGGAGTTTCTTTATGTAAACTTGACAGAATACAGAGAAGAAGAGATACAAGTGAAGGACAGAATAACAACAGAGTGCAAGGTTAGTGCATGCATTTATGTGTGCATGTGTGTGTTTGTGTGTTTGCGTGTGCGCGTCAGTGGCCCGAAGGAATTCCCTGCCCGCTTCTGCGTAGGCGGAAAGGATTTAAGAGGAGGAGGCGGGTCCCTGGTTGTCATGGCGTGACTGCAACAAGTTTTACACAACATCCACATTCCATACATGTAATGTGTGTTTATAGTGGCTCTGCTTCGTGGTTATGTGAAATAGTTTTTTTCGTTTCGGCAACACAAGCAACAGAGACCAGCATTATGTTTTTGTCTTTGTGGTTGTTAGTGATGGTGAACAAATGAGGACGTGTGAGGTCATTAGTCAAAGGTGAATGGAAACCAACGTGTATGCGAAAACCACTTGCATGTAGTTACATCCAAAAATCACAAAGTTCTGAACATATACTCATAGATGTTTAAAATAAAAGTTTCTCTAAAACTATTGATTGTATGTATATTATGTTGAAAGCCATCACAAGAGGATATGATTCCTTTGTTTGCCGATATCTCCCTCTTTCCTGTTAGCAGGGACAAATAACTTTCTATGGGTTTTCTTGGGTCTAACAAGTGGTAAATCGCAATAATACATACACACATAACTCTACACATTAATTAACACTTTGGAACATGCATAGCACACCACAAAAATCTAAACAGAAAGTGACAACAACCAGTGAAAGACAAACCCGGGCGACATTACTTGTTAAAATGAGGTCTCACCTGACTGAGGTAATGGTATTCTTCAGGCTTCATGAGGTGAAAGGATTTCCTCTCTTCTTCACTTGCTCCTGCCAGCAGGTAGTAAAATACATGGTAGTTTCTAAAAATAAAAAAATAAAAATTTTATTTCACTGTTAACCAAAATAGAAAGACAGTTGCACTTTTATTTCAAAACAAGATTAAAGGTTACATCACTATAACACAGAGAAACAACAGCTAATGGAGAAACAGCTTTCTAGGATTCTCCCTATTGATTATAATGTTGTAACTTGAATAACTATCAGCAAAACCACTACCCAAAAGTGTCTTACAATACAGCTTTATTTATAAAGCACTTTAAAACCTCCAGACCAAAGTGCTGTACAGTCAAAAAAACAAACAAAACGTACAAAAAAATAACAGCACAGCTCACACACCATAACACATTTGGTCTTAAATGCAATAAGTTAGCAACGGCAAGACATTAATGTGTCCATTTAGCTTGTCAGTCTGGTAAGGTTTAGCAGTTTATGTTAACCATAAGCTTTATACACCGATCAGCCATGGCATTATGACCACTCACAGGGGAAGTGAAAAACTATTGAATATCTAGAATGGCACCTGTCAGTGGGGGGGATATGTTAGGCAGCAAGTGAACACTTTGACTTCAAGGTTGATATGTTGGAAGCAGGAAACATGCGGTTCAAGAATGGTTTGAGGAAAACGACAACGAGTTCAAGGTGTTCCCCAGATCTTAATCCAATCGAGCATCTGTGGGAGGTGCTAGATAAACAAGTCTGATCCAATGGTGGACCCAACTCGCAACTTACAGGACTTAAAGGATCTGCTGCTAATGTCTTGGTGCCATATACCACATCACACCTTCAGAGGTCTAGTGGAGTCCTTGCCTCGATGGGTCAGGGCTCTTTTTGCCACAAAAGGGGGACCTACACAATATTAGGCAGGTGGTGATAATGTTATAGAATAACTAGTTTGTGAACGTATTGCCCATGATCGGGACCTTATACATTACATATACAGTAGTTTAAATTAGGCTCAGATTACCAGCTGCAACATTAGATTGATGAACACATGAAGGCATCAAAAATGTACTGGTATTCTGAGAAGGGCCATTCTGCATGACGAGTACTCTGTGTATATTTGGATGCTAATCGTCATAAACAAGTAAGACTTAAATATTTTTACAGTGTGCTATTATAACTTTTAGGTAAATACAAGATCCTACTAATGTAATAACATGCTGAAATATATACTTTGAAAGAAATTTCACACAAGCGCTATATACATTGTGTTAGATGAATGTGTATTCAAGAGCAGCAGTGTTGAAATTGAAAACAATTTGGCTTTCTGAAATCATGATTATGTTCTGCTTATCTGAGTGCTCACCGCTCATTGTGCTCCTGATAGACCAGCCTCGACTTCTCCAGCAGGTATTTCTCCACATATGCTCTGAAAAAGGACAATGCAATAAAAAGGAATCAAAACAACTTAAAAACTATTTGTTTTTTGAAAATAAATGTCTCTGGGTTCTTACCCTCTCACAGTGCCGCTCTCCTGGTAGTTCACCTGAATGAACTTGCCAAAGCGACTCGAGTTGTTATTATGGGCTGTCTTTGCGTTCCCAAATGCCTGAAGGGGAAAGAGAGAAGGATATGGTAAATAAAAAAACATGGGAAGATGCCACATATTACAAATCTAACACACAGTTTAGCAACAGATGTTTAAGGTCATGTTCTGGGTCGACTTTAGGTGTGGATCATTTTTCTGTAGGTCAAGCTCACAGAGTCTCTGGCCTCGTGCCAAACATTGTCTTGAAACACTTTCAGCCTGGACAGCACACAGCAAGCTTTTCCTCTTAACCCTTATGTTGTGTTCGGGTCTCCCGTGACCCGTTTCAAGTTCAAATTATATAATAACTACGCTCTAGATTTTTTAAATCGGAACAAGGCTTCATGATATCCTCCAGAACAGCTATATAAACACTACAAAACACATTTTGACAATTGTTGCCAAGTCTGAAGGTCTCTAAAAAAAAGTGTATCATTTGGTGTTCGGGTCTGGGGAGAACCAGCAGAATTGTTTTCGGTGACTCAAGGTCAAATTTGGCCCAATCAAGATTCATCTTTGACTTTAGACACCACCAACCCCCCCACCCCCTTCATCAACTAACAATTTTTCGCAACTTGCACCTGGTCTCCCCTCCCTCTGCCCCCCTCCCCCCACGGGAACTCGACCTTTCTCAAAGAATATGTACATTAACAATTTAACCTGAACACACATATGCATGTGTGCAATATGTGGTGTAATGTGTTTTGGGCCATAACATTAAATTACAACAGGATTTTACGTTTATGAATGCATAATAAGTTAGTTATGATGTAGTTAAAACAATATTGGATGATAGTCTTTTTTTTGTGTGTTTTGGACTGAGATAAATCATGGGGTACTGTACTGTGCGGGTCAAAATGTACCCGGGAACACCATGAACGGTAACAGCTTTTGAACACGACAACACAAGGGTTAAATAGTTTCAAACAGCGTCAGTCCGAGAAGGATTAATAACATGACTACAGGATCTATTCGAGTCAGTCAAACAGATTGCCAGAGTTGGGATGAAGTTGCTGGGGCCAGCAGGCCTGATGGAAAAAAAGCTCCTCAGTGAGTAATGGGATCCATGTGGCCGTGTGGAACATGTGTAGTGGTTGTGCTTTAATAAGCCAGTCCAGTATTTCCCCTTGCAGCTCTGTTTATGTTGTATGGCTGCCTGGAGGGGAAGTCGTTTTTTTGGCCTGCATGAACCCTGCAGTTATTTGTAGCTACGCCACAAGTAAACAAATTCTTCACTGAATCACTTAGAGCTGTACGAGCCCTATGTCTGAGGAATGGGAAACACCCCTTGACCCTACCCATCATCAATGCCACTACTAACAGACAAGCATGCTAGGAGAAGGCTAATGCCAAGCTAATAGCCTACATTTAAGGGCAATTGTTAAACACTGAATTTCCCTGGAATTTCTAAAACATCTTGCCATTTTGTTTCAGGGTAGTCCATTATTTTCTGATAGCGTTTAAACAACACAGAAGAAAGTAGAATGGCACTCTGATAGCACAGACCTCCGCCAAGGCCCAATGATGCATTCACATTCACTTGTCAGTTAGTGTTTTTGCCAACTTCAGACATAATGTGGAAACAACTTGGAAGCTATTTAAGAAAATGATGAGTTCTTTATAGCATTTAAACAACACATCAACAGATGTTTAGTATTCACAGTTAATAATTTGTGTAGCCTTCAACAGGACAGTTGTTTTTTTAATAATCCTTGAGACAACACAACGAGCCAAAAATGCAAATGATTACCGGTAGTTTGGTCCTCTTTAACAGCTTGAAAGAAGCTAGAAAAAGCTTTGTGTGTTTCAGACCTAACATACATTGTTTAATGTAAAATAGATGTAGGGTAGCCATTTACAAAAGTTAAAAAGTCTTATTTTATTTAATTATTCAACAGGGAGAGTGCACATTAAACAACATTTCTGTAAATGTGCAAGAGTTAGCGAAGAGACTATTTTTCATCTTTATGTGTTTATAAAGGAAAATAAATCAAGAAAGTTCAAGTAAAAGTTTCTAAAAACATCGTGAGGGTTTATAGGATCTCAGTCAGTTTATCATACCTTTAATATTTAATCTTTGTCTTCTCTACTAACGGCACAGCCTGGCTCCAACAGCTGGATCACAGCAATGAACCGGCTCTTAAGTTATGACTCACCAAGCTGAACAAATCATCGAACAGACACGGTGGAAAAAACATATTTAATTCATCTGTCTGGACAAAGAAAGACCACACAAGGTCAAACTAAGGAACATTGAGGATATAATTACATAGCTAGAAATGTGGGTTTCAGAATGGGTGCTTGATGCATTCGATATTGGCTGGTACTCTGTTCACTGCTCCATCCCGTCTATGAACTGGTTAAGGAACTACAGGTCAGACGAGGACAAACTAACATCACTCAGCGTCCCCAAGAACTTCCTGAAGGGACAGCCAATCAAATGCAAGCACTCAAAAAAAGAAAACCTGCTCACAGACATGTTGAGGAACTCGGGTCAGGTCTTTCAGTGTTTGCTTGACATTCAACATGTTGTGTTAGGCTAGCAGGAAGCAGGATGTGGAAAATCTAAGATAGTGAGAGCTGATTTATGTTCAGGCACCGTGTATTCGTCCACCTGGTCTGTGTAAAGAAGATGCATAGTTAAGGAAGACATTTTAACAGCCGACAGTTTGTATTCCTTCGACACTTGGCTCTCTCCATATTAACGGTAATAAACCACAACAGAATGGGTGATATGCCATATCTGACCTCTGGAGTACCCAGGTGATGGTTTCTTTAAACCTGCTAGAAAAACATGTAATTCCATGCAAAATAAATGGAGATAAGTCACTAGAAAACCTGCTGTCACTGTCATGATCACTAAGACAGTATAATTTAAATTTAGGAAAATAAGAAAACAGTTAAATCAGCCACTATGTCCTCAAAACACTTTCTTAGTGTAGAGCAAACAAGAAATGTTTTGTACTGCAACGGCAGACAAATACATAAAAAAAAAACTTTCAACCTACGACAATGCTAATTTGTTTTTGTGCCTTCTCCAAGGAGAGTTATCAAAGGATATTCTAGGAAATGTAAGTCACCAAAGTAAGAAGAGGATTCCTAACACACAACGATGGAGGGTGGATTTATTCCCCCTTTGAACGATGACAAAGACTGAAAGGGACACCAGAGCTAAAACTGTTTGTACAGACATGATTCACACCACTTCAGTCACTCCGGCAGGTCAAAAGCATTATTCTTGGCTCCAGACGACAGACCCAAGCCAAAGCAGACTTGAGATGGTGCCAGTGTGTTCAGGGCGTAATGTGTCTACAGGCTCGGTCAAAGTCACCACAGGCAGATAGAATGATGTGATGTTCTCATGAGACGATTGGTCACCAACGGTTCAGTGGTCACTGAGAACACATTTGTATCCGATGACTTTAATATGTCTTTCAAAACCTTTAACTTAAGTCAACTTTACCCTGATAACTTCATTAGGGCAATGACTTAACCCCATCACAACCTAGGTCTTTCCATTTAAAACAGAATTAATTAATATCGCAGATTGTGTTTTCGGTTTTCTTAGAACCACCAACACCATAACGTTTCATTCACAGGGTGCAGTGCAAGTAATAGACCTAAGCTCAGTGGAAGGAGTCTTTTTTGCTGTAATTCACTTTGGCAGTTGTAATTAAGTGTTTACTAACTTGATTTTTTTATCAAAGACTGCTGATGCTTTTTTTTGTACAAGTTGAAATAGAACAAGAAACTGAATTCCAGTGGGGCGTGATCAATGCTACAGTGTTGAAAAGTGTTATTAAATCTATGTATTTAAATGTTATATGAACTAAATCAGATCAGTAACTAGTTTAGCATAACAAGGAGGAATATATGATGTGCAGGGTAATATATCTCTAACAGGAGAAGTTTCTTTTCTTGGAAATCAATTAGACGTCCACACCGAGGTAATCAGTTCAGATCCTATTAATGCTTCTGTCTGTAATGAGGTTATTAGGGCTTTAACTGCCTTTGTATCATCTAACTCATGTAGTGTGGTTCAGAGACACATGGCTTTTTATCATATGAGGATGACTTCATTAGCAGCTTCTTGAGGAGAGAAGAGTGAAAACAGGAAAACATACTGTTGTCTTGTGTGGAGCCTGCAGGGAGTGTTTCAAACGGATGGAGGGGTCACGCCATGCGCTCATATAAAAAAGTGCAGACAATAAGCTGCTTGATTAACTCACAAAGCGATTTATCTTTCAGTAAATCATCTATTGCTTGGGGGTTACAAATGAATTTCCATGCTGGGGTGTGTTTGGAGGTCATGTGACAGCATGGTCCCAAACTACACAGAGAGACGCTTTGTCTGAATCTCAAAGTCACTTAAATGAGCCATGAGATAATAAACAGCATTCTACTGCCTGCAAATTGATTTAGGAAATTGTCACTAAATGTTTAGCATTCCTTCCCTGACAGTAGCTACGGAGCATCTGTGCAATTCAATGGTTACTCAGAGGCATTGCTCATTTGACCTCTGTAGATTCATATCCTTTACTGAGCCTGGTACCAGACTGACTCATCCACGTTAGTATGCGGACAGGATGTCCACAATAGAGTGAAAGGGCGAGATGTTTCATGGTTATGTCACAGCTTGTGTGGGCAGATAACGTTCTCCAGAGGCTAATTCCTGACCATGCCCTTTGTAATCTCACACCTCAGGCCGCGCTGACCAGAGTGGACTGTGGTCACGGTGGTTGTTTAACAACAGGGGGATCTGCAGTCATGGTTCCCAGCATAGTGAGAGCATGGTGGGATGTGGCTGCTGGCAGAGGCTGCTTCTGTCAAACACTGTTTGAGGTAGGATGTGTGCAGGTTTAACTGAAACATTAAAGGGGCTCTACTCCATAAAATAGAAGGAATGAACATATGTGAGCTTGTTTTTGTGATTCAGTTATTCAAAAAGAGGCGGCAATGTTTAAGCTTCAAGCTTTCTCTAACACAGCACTAAACCCCACTGTCAGAAGAGCTGTTGTCCT